CACATTTAATGTGCCATTTCTCTGCATTTTTATTAGCATTACTGCCAATTGGAAGGATTTACAAATAATTTCTTTTCCAGCACATAAATACATAAAATATTTTACTTTCCATATACTGGCAGAACATTTCAGGTCATTCTCCAGATTGCAGACAGAAATGTATGCACCTCTCAGAGTCTGCAATGTTTACGTTCATGCAATACCTAATTATGTCGAAGGATAAAGCAAATCAAGGGTATAAACTAAAGGTAAAATCTGACCTCTATTTCCAGACCAAAAGCAAACAATATGTCCCTATAAGGGATGGCACACTGGATAGATGCCCAGCTATACTCAACAACCTTCTCCTGGCACACAGTCATGCACCACTTCCACCAAGATGTAAGCAAAGCTTTGGCCTAATGTGAATCTCATGCTCTGAGTGACGGAGCCACCATTCCTCACCTCCCTTCCCTGAAAGAGGCATTTTTGCATGGAAAACCCCTTTGCCTTCTCTTCTATTCTCTACTTTCATCACCCTCGTTACAGTAATGCCATAGCATCTTGCCATAGTTCATAAAAGGGTGTTTCTGATGATTTATGAGATTTCTCTTGAGACCTTGAAATATTCCAAGTATATTCTCATTTTTCTCCCTAATTCAGTTTTTTATGCCAACTATAATATTTCCCCCCGTGGCAGCTGCGTTCCACTTCACCTGGGTAAAGCACGCCTTGCAAAACACCAAAGGGACTTGGAAGAAAAGGAGGAGAAGGCATTTGTAGGAAATACAGTGGATACTCCACCCCCTGGTGCTTGCCTTCCTCCAAAGAGTACTGGCAAAAACTAGATATTCACTGATAATACCTGCATTCAGCAAAGCTGTGCTAAGAGGGCACATGTAGCTGGGAGCATGGTCCTTTGCCAGGCTGTGGCGTGTCCTCAGGACAAGGCATGGCCAAGGCTGAGGGCTTCACACATGCCACCACCAGCTTCCATCATTGACCCCTGTCACGGCATGGGAATGAAACATCTCTTGCTCCAGTGGCCCAAAGTCATCTCAGCTGTTGGGGTGAAAAAGGCCAAGTCGGTGTGCAACTGTGCCGTCAGACTCTTGGGAATATTTGACAGCCATCTCTGGGGATGGGAAGCTGGTTTTCATGCTTCTTAATACAGGATTTGCTCTGAGTTTGCACTTGCCCGTGCACAGGAAAATATATCTTGTTCTGTTTATGAGCCCCAATCCATCCTGGAGTCCCATCTTACCATTTCTTGGTTAAACTTTTCTCCCTCTTCCCCAGCCCTGTGACAGCTTTGCTATGCCCTGGCACTGAAGCCCAGCAGGTAAGTAACCCAAGCCTCTCTGTGTGCCATCAGCTTCATGGCATGGGACAAACTGCATCCTTGTGACGAGGAAAGGCATGAGTTCCCTCCTGCCGCTCTGAGACTTGGAGGACATTTGGAAGCTCTTAATATCACCCCATGACATTATCTGGGGGCAAACACACCCATTGCACTCACTTCCACCCATCGATGCCAGGGCTGCTGGCATCTCACCTGTGGAGGAAGGCTGATGGTAGCACTCAAGAACCATGGAGGCATTAAAAGCAATATGACATGTGTGAAGTGTTCCTGGGCAAAATCCAAGCTGTGCAATTGCCACTTTCACTTAAGTTCATGCAGCACTTTCTAACTAACCACATTTTTGCCTTCGAATGCAATGAATTATGAAATACACCTTCACTTCTGCTCTGGTTTGGAGGCTCACTGTGTGTTGCTGAAGAGCTGCACACCACAGCCCCAGCAGCAACTGTCTTTGGGTATCTCTGGAGTTGATCCCTGTGTCATTTACGGAGCTTGGTGAGATCCTTTGTGGCAGAAGGTGACATACAGGTGTGAAATGCTCTTGTCATATCAGTTTAGGCTCAGCTACACAACCACTCCAGCATATATTGCATATGCTCCTCTTAAAACACATTTTGTCCAGCCGAGCCATCCTGCTCCCACAGCTCGAAGGGCTCCTCAGCCTGACCTAGACAGGGCTGCTCCTCCCCCTGTATCCCTACAGAAAGCAGGGTTTGCCATGAAAACCAAATTCAGACCGTCTCTGCTTGCTCATTATGTGAAGCCCATCAGTTAAATAAGCCCCGGCAGATACAGTCGCGCTGCCATCCTGCAATGCGAATGCACTCCCAAGGTAATTCCTGATGAAAACCGTATGTTTGCACTAGGTCTGCTCAGGCTGGTTCAGATTAAATATAAACCACTGCCAATTGTATTACCTCATTATTAGCAGACACTGGCAGCAGCCCTGCGTGGAGAAACGGACGTCTGGCTACGCTACCTGCCCTCACATCGTAAGTCATGTCAGGTGCCTGGGGACACAGGGGAGAATCACTGCCTCCCTCCTGGCTGTCCTGACCACGGCGGGGAACTCCTCCTTGAACTTGACTGGTCGTCCAGTCGAGCTTCTCACCCACCTGATGCTGGGCCAAAGCCTTGGGAGTATTTGGGAACCCTCCACAGGACATATGGGAAGGAGGGTGAGGCTGTCCCTGGGAGCAGAGGGCACGACCAACATCCCCAGGAGCTCGCTGGGTTCAAGCTCTGCTACCAAATGACGCTCACGCACAGCGGGAGAGGAAGCTATTGCTGATTCTCGCTACATATTTCAAGTTAAATCCCAGAGAAAAATGAAAACAATCCATCGGAGGAAAAGTAGCCATAAGCCATATAACGTTAATTCAAGCCATATAGCATTAATTCAATTTGCAGGCAAGGTAAATCTTTCACATAACATTCCCCTCTTTGCTCAGTGCCTAAGGAATTTCCCATTACCCTGTCCTTTTTTTAATGTATGGCCCATTTGACCTTCACATAGCACAGACTCGTGTCCAGCCCCCAAACCCTCTGCTCAAAACACTGCAACAAGAGGCAGCTGAGACACGAGAGCAATAAAAACACCCAGCACAACTGACTGTATCTTTGAAGCTGTTGGAACCGTTGAGCTGGAAGAGATGGAGAATCGCCTCCCATCTCTGCAGAAAACACACGGAGCTTTCTGAAAGGTCTCAAACAGGAATTTAACACCTTCCATCTGCAGCCCATTACTCTACATTTTAACTCTACCTCTCCGGTTACAGGTCCCTGCGCACTAGGAGTGTGTACGAAAGAGTGCCAAAGTCTCAAGTCTGTGAGACCGAGACTCAGGGAATAACTGGAGATGAATCAGAACTGCAAGCCAAGTCCACAGCACTCTTTTTCCAAAAAAGCACAGAGTTTCGGTAAAAGACCCCATGAATTGGCACCATACTGAGTCTGGCCTTTGCAAAACCTAAAGAGAAATCACCTGGTCTGCTAGGAAAGGCCATAACAAGGTGCAAACAATAAATTTTGGAGAAAGTGCTTTTTAAATCGATGGATTTTTTTTTTCCTTTTATTTCAGGAATGAGATCATTTCAACAACTTATCTTCTCTTTCCGCCAGGTTTTGCATTATGTTGTCTCCCTGCTCTAGGGGAGATGCTGAGCACCCTCGAGCAGGCTGACAGCCTCTTCCCCTACCCTGATGAATACAGTTGTCCTGTGCAGCTCATGGGGGCACTCGACTCAGATGTCCCCAGGGAGGCAGGAGAGCTTCATTCCGGCTGCCACCATCTCCCAGGGGCTCTGTTCTCAGCAGTCTCCCCAGGGATTCTGGCGTCACATCCCCCAAGGATCCCCCTTCACACCAGGGCTGAGTCCAGTGCTCTGGTTTGGCAAAATTTCATCTAACTTTGCACAGTGTTTCCACCCCTGCCTGTAGAAGGGAGGGAGAAGGTTGGATTCACATCCCAGCTCCCCTGCACATTTCAGGCATCGGGGAAGTCTCCCTTCGTGCTCTGACCAAGGACATTTTAAAGACAGCCTGCTCCTTGTGATCAGCTCTGATTGTAGCTTTGCAGCAGTTAAAAAGTCCCCCCTGGCTCCAGCATTCTGATGCTGCATTTCTCTCTTCCCTTTAATGGTGGGTTCTGTTTCTTTTATTACCTCTTAGTAATCGTTTGACGAGCTCTCACAGCAGGACTTTGCTCAAAATTATTCCACCCTTCTAAACTTCTCCTTCAAAAACCATCAACACTTCATGTGACGCAGCACAGCTCCCACCCACAGCATCTTTTACTGGCAAGGAGCGGTGAGGGCACAGGACCGGGTGGCTCTGCTTGATTGGGCGCTCAGGTCATCTCCAGATGCTGCCCAGGAATGCAAAGAGAAAGGTAAAATAGCCTTGCAAAAAAAACATTTGCAACTTTGCAGAGAAAGCTTGCAAGAGCTGGTCTGTCTTCACCCAGCTGTGTCAGCTCGGCAAATAAGAGACATCCCTTATGGGTCGCCTGTGAGGCAGGTTTATCTAAGTGAGTTGATGGCTCACATTCATCTGTCTTCTCCTTGCTGTGGTGAAAGGCAAAATTTCACAGCATCCTCTCCAGACTTTCCTTGGTGACCACAAATTATTTGAGCCAAAAACACAGAATCACAGAAGCATAGAATTGTCAAGGTTGGAAGGGACCGAGTCCAACCATCAACCCAACACTGAAAAAAACCACCACTAACCCATGTCCCTCAGCACCACGTCTGCCCAGCTTTTAAATACCTCCAGGAATGGTTACTCCACCACTACCCTGGGAAGCCTCTTCCAAGGCTTAAAAACCCTTTCAGTGTAAAATTTTTACCTAATATCCATCCTAAACGTCCCCTGGTGCAACCTGAGGTCGTTTCCTCTTCTCCCATCGCCTGTGACTTGGGAGAAGAGACTGACCCCCCCTGGCTACACCCTCCTTTCAGGGAGTTGGAGAGAGTGAGAAGGTCTCTCCTCTATTTTTCTTCAGGCTGAACACCCCCAGCTCCCTCAGTTGCTCCTCACAAGACTTGTGCTCCAGACTCCTCACCAGCTCCGTTGCCATTTTGGGCTGCAACATGGGCTTCAACGCACTGGGAAAGCCCCCTCCACCAGTAACAGAGAAGGATCAACAGCAAGGACTTACCATCCATGTCAAGGCGTTGCATGATAATCGCCAGCTCCACCTCACTGGGCATGTATCCCAAGGAACGCATTGCCATGCCCAGCTCCTGCTTGGATATAAAGCCATTCCCATCCCTGTCCAGCACCCGGAAAGCTTCTCGGATTTCTGTAAAGGAGAAGGAAGAAGAGAAGAGTTACTATGGTGGAGGACTCCTGTGGACTGATCCTCATGAAATGTCACTTTTTCTCAAGGAGACCAGGCTAGGACCTGAGCGCTCTTCTCCCTGCCTCAGTGTCCCCAGCCCCTGGCAACGGCGATACTGCTCCTCTCTACAAGGTGACTTCACAAAGGTCACAAGGTGACACAAAGTCCTCACCCGACAGCCAGTGACTGTCACAGCACCATCTCACTCCCAGAATCAATTCAAACATCAGCAGCAAGTAGTGCTGCTGCAAACAGAGTGTCAGGTGGACAAAGCATGGTCAGTGCATCTGAACATGGGGCACAAAAGCAGCATGTTTGCCTTTTCTGATGTTAATGATGCACATTTGAGCATTTCAAGGCAGTGTGGTCAGGATATGTCTGCACACATATGTGTGTGTGTGTGTGCACACTCCTGTGTGGATATCTCTGTATGCAGATAGATACAACAGCTTCCATGCTCACGCTGCCTATATTCTGTGCTAGAAATTCTGTGCAGAATTATTTATTCATTACACATCGATCTCCGTTTCCTTCTGCAGCGTCTGCCCTGGACTGCTGTGGGTGACCCATCTTGATCCACAGTAAAAAACCCCTTCATACGGCTGCACAGCAAACCCCCACCCCAGAGCCTTCTCCAGCCACCCTTCTCCAAGCCCCTCAGCAAATCCACAAGGTAGATTTATTTTATGATGTCACGCAGGCAGAGCAAGATTGGACTATCTCCAACAAAACTACCTGAACAGGAACAGCTGGGTGCCCACTGTCCCCCCTGCGGGTCTGGAGCTCTGCAGCCAAAGCCTGGATGTGCATGTTCTCCTCCAGTAAATGCAGATGTACATCTTTTAAACCATACCTGGGCAATGTCCATCTCTCCCTCCTCTCCACGGCTTTTCTCTAATTTATAACTGTTTTACAGCCTCAGATCAATAAAACTGCTGATGGCATCAAAGGAATCATTTCCATCATTCTTCCTCAGCCTGGCTCAGCGTCTTGACGTCTGACTTTGTTTTGCTTTTTAAACCTGGCACATCCCCTCCCGCCTTTACTAGCCACCCTCTGCTCGTGCAGCACACCGAGGGACCCCTGGCATCCACCACCTTGACAGCTCGGCACCTTCCCTGCTCCTCACAGACCTCTCAACCTGAAGCCCCACCACCAAACTCCCCAGATGTGACTGTTCCAAACGCCAAACAGAGAAATCACCAAACAGCATCCTGGACTGCACCAAAAGAAGCGTGGCCAGCTGGTCGAGGGAGGTAATTCTGTCCCTCTACTCTGCTCTGGTGAAACTCCACCTGGAGCACTGTGTCCAGCTCTGGAATCCTCAGCACAGGAAGGACATGGACCTGCTGGAGCGGAGCCAGAGGAGGCCATGGAGATGCTGGGAGGGCTGGAGCCCCTCTGCTGTGAGGGAGGGCTGAGATAGTTGGGGGGTTCAGCCTGGAGAAGAGAAGGCTCCGGGGAGACCTTAGAGCCCCTTCCAGTCCCTCAAGGGGCTCCAGGAGAGATGGGGAGGGACTCTGGATCAGGGAGGGGAGCCATAGGACAAGGGGGAAGGGTTTGACACTGAAAGAGGGAAGATAGAGATGAGATCTCAGGAAGAACTTCTTTGCTGTGAGGGTGGTGAGAGCCTGGCCCAGGTTGCCCAGAGAAGCTGTGGCTGCCCCATCCCTGGAGGGGTTCAAGGCCAGGTTGGAGGGGGCTTGGAGCAACCTGGTCTGGTGGGAGGTGTCCCTGCCCAGGGCAGGGGGTGGCACTGGATGGTCTTTAAGGTCTCTTCTAACCCAAACCACTCTGTGATTCTATGAAATTGGAATATTTCATTCAGCTGGGAGCCTGTTCACTTGAAAGGGTTTGGTTGGAGGTGGGGAGAGAAAGGGGCGCTGGTGTCTTTTTAGTTAAACGCACTTTGCCCCACGCTGCGAGAGGAAAACTCAGGATGCTTTATCACATCTCTTTTGGGAATGAGCATATATGAAAAACCAGCATGCTGGGGACCACTGCAACTTTGTTCAGAGGAGTTTAATCTTCACATGAAAGCATTTTATTGGAGATGCGGGAGGGAAAACTCAGTTTTGGGGGGAAATAACCCCAAACAATTAAAAAATGCTCTGTTCTCTATCAGGAAATAGACTGGATGGAAAAAGTTTGTCCAGCCCTGGGTAGTTCAGGCATTAAGCCTCAGATGAGAAAATATTCTTGGTCTTGCCATGGACTCCTGGCACGTCGGGTCCCTCTGCTCCCAGGGGACAGGGAGGCACCGGGCTCTGCAGCGCGGCCACGGGGAAGGTACCGGATGGTCCTTGCTCCTCCCGGGAAACAGCCAGGAGCATCATAACCCACCAGGAAACAGCTTCAGTGACCTCTCTGCTAACAGACTATTTAAAGCTTTGCAATTCAAAGGCTGCTTCTAAATCACCTCACATCGAAGTTCACCACCTCCCCTGACAACACCAGTGCGTGAGCAAAGTCTGCTCCGATTTCCACGTGCCGCTCTCCGCCGTGTGTAACACCCTGGTGATGTGCCAGGGCCAGGGCACCTCCGCGACCCACCGCTTCACCTGCACCACAGCTGTGGTTATCTTAATGAGATATGATCAATTTTTAATCCAGCCAAAGAGCCCACTGACGCAGAAAGGGAAGATCCTATTAATTCCAATTAATATCGGGCCAGATCTGTAGTATCTACACTTTTGGGTTCAGGTGTGCATCAACCGTGGTTTCTTTGAACATAAATGCTTCACCTTGTGTCCCTGCCAGCCCAAGCTGCTGTGAGCTCGGTGATACGAGAAGATGGTGAGGCTGCTCAAAGCAAGCTCGGCTGGAAGTATTGGTACATAATGCAAAGAGCCTTTGGAGTAGGAACGAATCCCATTAGACACTGCCAGCTGTAGTGAAATCTATTTTCATGTGCTGTGCTGAAAGCTAAAGTGCAGTAAATATTACATCGAAATCAATTAATTTTAAAAGAAACTTTTGACAGCTGAAGACGAAAGAACTAAAAATATTGCAGGGAGCTGAGAAAGTATTTTAGAAAATAAAATAAGAGTCTACTTTCGGAAAAGTTTACACGTGACATAGACTGATCCAAATTACATGAATAAATTACGTCTGTACAGGAGTTCTGCTGTGGGATATCTGAATGCCAATGTCTAGTGAGCATCCTCTCTGGGTACACTGGTTTCAGAAGGCGCATTTAACATCACCGCGACCTTTGAGCCTTGATCAGAGGAGAAAACCTCACACATTTGGGGTCCAGCTCTGTTCAACATCTCTCAGAAACCTGAACTTTTGACCAAGCCTGAAACATCCTTCGCACATCAACTCCTGACCCCAAACGGAGCTTTTTTTCACTCATCAGTCTATAAATACCACTTGTGCAGAGGTATATTTGAAGAGCTATTTATAGGTTGAACACACTGTACACGAAGCAGCTATGACCTCAGTCGGTGCCTCCTCTTTATCTTTACATGTAGCACCACCTCCTTATCAGCTTTTCTTTATAGTGATTCCCTCCCCTCCGACGTACTCGGGGGTGCTGCCCTGCACAGCACCCAGCCTGTGAGCCACGGTCTGAGCATCCTCCCCCAACGCAGCCCCACCAGCTCTTCCCGCTGGCTCTGCCAAAGAGCCCATCCCAAACAGTGATCCGTGAAGGTGTGACACCCTGGCGGGCCCTCACCTTTATTTCCACCTGTTAAATTTCATTAGCCAAAGCTAAAAATACACCAGCACTTTCCCCATATGACTTTCCCAAAGAAGTCGCCATGGCAACTGATGCTCTTGGCTCAGCACTGGGAGCGGATGTGGTCCGTGGAGTAAATCTCTCAACTAAGACATGGCCAGGGCTTAGGAGAAACTTTGAGACGTCTTCCATTTTGGCTGGAAGCTGCTCTGCATCAGGATGCTTCACCCTCATCAAGAAAAGCAGAGCCCTGTTTTGTTTTTAAAAGCAGAGTTTTACAGAATTACAGAATTACAGAATTTTCTAGGTTGGAAGGGACCTTAAAGATCATCTTGTCCAACCATCAACTGACAAAAATAGACACCCACACAACAAACAAGGAGCATCATCACTAAACCATACCTCCCAGCACTACATCAACCCCTCTTTTGAATACCTCCAGGGATGGTGCCTCAACCACCTCCCTGGGCAGCCCATTCCAATGCCTGAAGATAACAGGGGAAGCGGGTGTCAAAGTGATGCTGCCCCAGCAGCTCCCTTGCCCCTTGCCCAGCCTGGCCAGCAGCAGCCCTCCACACTGAACCACGCACTTACATTAAGATTACAACTCACTTGGGGCATTAGCAAAGATTAATATTTATTCCCCTTCCCACTAGATAGTATCTTCTTTTCGGTCTCAGATATAGGAAGGTGACACAAAACTATATCAGAGTATAAAAGGGAAAAAAAGAAGAGAAAGTATAGAAAGATTTGGAGAACAGAAAGTAGCCCATTTTACTGGTCAGGAAATGTCACTTCATCTCAAGAAGCCCAGGCCAGGACCTGAGCGCTCTTCTCCCTGCCCCGGTGTCCCCAGCCCCTGGCAGCAGCAATACTGCTCCTCTCTACAAGGTGACTTCAGCACAGAAGTGCTCACCCGGCAGCCAGTGACTGTCACAGCACCACACCGTCTCGCTCCCAGAATTAATTCAAACATCAGCAGCGAGCGATGCTGCTGCAAAGAGACTGTCAGAGGGACCCTACACCATCCTTAGCGCTGAACGGCGTTCAAGGGAACGAGGGGAGAGCAGGGATCAGCATCCTCACTAACATCTCGGGTAACATAGAATCATAGAATCATTGAGGTTGGAAGAGACCCTTGGGATCATCGAGTCCAACCATCTCCCCTACTCTACAAAGTCCTCCCCTACACCATGTCCCTCAGCACTGCATCTAAACGGCCCTTAAACACAGCCAGGGATGGGGACTCCACCCCCTCCCTGGGCAGCCTGTTCCA